ACTGTTCCCAGAATATTGAAAAAAATAAGACAGTTCACGCCTGGGCTGCTCATATCTGTGAGGACATGCGGTGTTCTCACGGACCTCAGCTGGGTCATCACCGGTTAGTGTCTAAACCCTGAAAAGAAACATCCAAGTTTGGTTTATGTTACGAACCCATTGCTTCCTGAGCAGCTCCCTTGTCTGCATTAGCCACTTTCCAACAGGAAAGGCAACAAATAGCCCTTTTATTGCCATAATGGCTAGCAATCTCGGTGGCACAAGAAGCTTACTACTCACAAATAATAATAACAAAAAGAACAAAGAAAACCCCCAAGGATGAGGCCATGCAGCCAATGTCTGTATTATCATTATTCAGAGGACAGAAGCCACAGCTATGCGGTTACCATAAACAAGCCTCCTTCTTATTGGCAGATGTTTCACTTAAATAAACATAATCAGGATTTGGGAAGATTCACCTTGGCGGCAGCTAAAACACATGAATATTCACTAATCTCCTTGTGTCCCAGTTGTTACTCCAGCTGGTCTGGAAAATACACTTTTTGGCAGGGGTAGGTGGTGCTGGACAAGCAAGGCCAGCCCGAGGCTCACAGTGCGTACAAGCTGTTCACAGCTCCACACGTAGGAGGGAGACGCTCGTGTTCTTTTTAGTTCCCTCCTAATGTACGTAAGTACCTCTTTATTTCATAGTACTCCACAATCCCTCCAGAAAGTGCTGGTACTAAGAGGTGATAGCAATTTTGTGGTCCAATCACCTTAACCCTGAGCTCCTTGTGCACACATGATGAGAGTAAGGTGATATTATCCTTTAAGTTATCAAAAACTATCATAGGAAGAAAGAGAAGCTCACACACTCTCATTGTGTACAGAGTCAGAGGAGTGCATGCGTCCCACCTTGATGTGCACTGCAGCACTATTTACAATAACCAGGACATGGAAGCCACCTAAATGTCCATCAACAGACGAATGGATAAAGAAGATGTGGCACATATATACAATGGAGTATTACTCAGCTATAAAAAGAAATAAAATTGAGTTATTTGTAGTGAGGTGGATGGACCTAGAGTCTGTCATACAGAGTGAGGTAAGTCAGAAAGAGAAAACAAATATCGTATATTGACACATATATGTGAAATCTAGAAAAATGGTAGAGCTGAACTTATTTGCAAACCAGAAATAGAGTCACATATGTAGAGAACAAACTTACGGTTATCAAGGGGAGAAGGGGGGGATGGGGTGATTTAGGAGATTGGGATGGACATATACACACTACTATATATAAAATAGACAACTAGTGGGAACCTACTGTAGAGCACAGGGAACTCGACTCAGTGCTCTGTGGTGACCTAAATATGAAGAAAATCTAAAAAAGAGGGGATATATGTATACCTATAACTGATTCACTTTGCTGTATAGTAGAAACTAACACAACACTGTAAAGCAACTCTACTCCAATAACAATTAATAATAATAATAAAAAAGAGTCAGTGTGTTGTAGGTGAGGGCAGGGTCTGGAGATAATCCATAAGGAGCCTCAGCACCTCCTCTCTCGGCCCCTCATCCCTGCCTACCCTTCTCTTCTCTGCAGACCACCCCTCATTGCTCTCTCATCACAACAGCCCCCAATGACTTCCCTTATTCCCGAGTCTCTGGACTTCCCGTGTCCAAGGACCACCACGGATTGATGCGGAGCTCCTGTGCATCTTACTCCAGTTCTTGAGTGAACCAATCCCAGCAGCTCAGCTCAAGGACCAGATGGCCACCCTGCCCAAGCAGCAGAGCCCCAAAGCACTCGCTGGCCTGCGGAGGAGAGGCAGGGGTAGGGGAGCAAGGAGGCTCCTGGAGTGAACTTCAGAAAGTGCTCTGAAGATGTTTAGCAAGTCTAATCCTTTCTGGTTGTAAAGTGTTGTAGACATAAGGTGCACATTGACCTGATCACACCATTTGGTTTATCCAGCAATTCTTCATAATTCTGACATAATGCTTTCTAAAACCTGGAAAAAAAATTACATTTTGTATTGATTTATAAATCAGTGAGTAGAATGCTGTTTCCTTTAGTATTATTTCACTTGGTAATTAGCAGTTATATGCCAGTGGTGAAGTTATCTCTGTAAAAACAGATTAGGCATTTCTTGTGATGCTTGGCTATTAGGATTCGTCTGTTAGAATTTTCCTGGTCTTACTTCTATAAAAGTCCTAAATTCACAAGTTACTTTACAGTTCCTGAAAAAATTGAAGTTATTCCCCTTAGAAAACTGATTTCTCTTTTTTTTTTTGCGGTATGCGGGCCTCTCACTGCTGTGGCCTCTCCCGTCGCAGAGCACAGGCTCTGGACGCGCAGGCTCAGCGGCCATGGCTCACGGGCCCAGCCGCTCCGCGGCATGTGGGATCATCCCGGACCGGGGCACGAACCCGTGTCCCCTGCATCGGCAGGCAGACTCTCAACCACTGCGCCACCAGGGAAGCCCTGATTTCTTTTATATACTATGTCTCCTATGAATTTTTCTCTCTGCTGGCATTATCCAACTCAATCCTGTGTCTGTAACATCAGGATTTATAACTGCTCCTCTAGAAAAGTGTTTCACTTGATTAAACTCTGTTCTTTCCTGAAATCCTCTAAAGTAATCCACTCATGATTCAGTAATCACCGAATGCTGACTCTCTTTGACTTATATGTTGCACACAGAGACAAGAGCAGAGGTACAATACATTTTTATTAATTAACAGAGATCCAGAGTATTCGAGTATGAATATCTAGTTGAAAGAGGTCATCTGTAAACCTAATAACAATCAGAACATAGAGCAACCAAAGTACATCATGTTTATAAAAATAGGAAGTATAGAGAAATTATGCTTCCTCCAGGGTTCATTAGTGTATACTTCATACTAACAGCTGACACAGAGAAAGAAAGCCTAGGCTGTAATCTCAGGTATGTAATGCATGTTTTGTCTGTCACTGTATCTGTCTAATAGGTACCTAGTATCTCGTCAGTACTTAGTGTTTATTGAACGAGTACAGGTGGATTATTTAGGAGCTTGATGGGAACAGCACAGACAGAATAATCCCAGCACAGACTTTCTATTGACGTCCATCTGCATTGTCAAATAACCATCTGCAGAGTATGCCATCAAAGTGGGGCTGGAGTTTAAAATAGTTTCCAAGGGTTAGCAGAGCCTTCATCTGGGTAGGAAGTGCTGGGGCATAGATGCTCATCCCTGGAACCTGGATGACGAACTCGGGAATAAAGTCTCAGGTCTGCAGAAAGTGCCATTAGATGTTCACATTCACAAAAGGCTGGAGATGGCAAAGCCAAACAAACAAGGGGCGAGATGGCTCTGGGCTCTGCAGACCCTTACCGTGGATCACACAGTCACTGCCCGGAAAGCAGCAGTGTCACCTACTCACGCCCAAAAGGCACCAAGTATCACAAAGTAAGGTACTTGAGTCAAACCTTTCATTTTGAGACTACGAGTGCAGGAAAGCAGCTCCAGAGGTCGGATTCGTGAGCCAAATGAGAAATGGCGTCAGCAGATGACTTTGTTTAGGTGAAAGGGGGGCAGGTGCGAGGAGAGTGACGAGACACAGACCCCCCGAACCAAGTCTGAAGTGAAGCCACTTCACCTGAAGAGCTTTGAAAATAAATCCAGCTTCTACACCTGAAGCTGACTGAAAATCACACAGACACAGAGAGAGAACGTTGAAAGAGCATAAAGCTGGGTCAGGCTGTCCAAAGAGACACACGGAACAGTGACCTGGGTCAGATCTTTAGGATGATGCAGTTATTAAAAATAATGTACAACGCAACCAAATATGTTTATATTTTTAGGAATTAGTATTAACAGGAGAACGTCTTAATAATACTTAATAGTTTACAAAGATATATCCAATACTATTTTTAAAATTTATTTTATTGAAGTATAGTTGATTTACAATGTGGTGTTAATTTCTGCTGTGCAGCAAAGTGACTCAGTTATACATATATGTACACATTCTTTTTCATATCCTTTTCCATGATGGTTTGTCACAGGATATCGAATGTAGTTCCCTGTGCTCTACAGTAGGACGTTGTTTAACCAACCTGTATGTAATAGTTTGCATCTGCTGACCCCAAACTCCCACTCCATCCCTCCCCCACTGCCCCTCCCCCTTGGCAACCACCAGTCTATTCTCTGCGTCTGTGACTCTGTTTCTCTTTCATTCATTTGGGTCATATTTTAGGTTCCACATATAAGCGATATCATGTGATATTTGTCTTTCTTTGTCTGACTTACTTCACTCAGTATGACAGTCTCTAGGCCCGTCCATGTTGCTGCAAATGGCACTTTCTTATGGCTGGGTAGTATTCCATTGTATAGATGTCCCACATCTTCTTCATCCATTCCTCTGTCCATAATCCAATGCTAGCTATGTTATGGTTGACTAACAGGTGTTGCTCAGCTGCTGTGCACCAGACCTGCTCACCTACAGTCATTTGTCACCTACGCTCATTTGTCACCTACGGTCATTTGTCACCCACGGTCATTTGTCACCTACAGACATTTGTCACCTACGGTCATTTGTCACCCATGGTCATTTGTCACCTACAGTCATTTGTCACCTACGCTCATTTGTCACCTATGCTCATTTGTCACCTACGGTCATTTGTCACCCACGGTCATTTGTCACCTACAGACATTTGTCACCTACGGTCATTTGTCACCTACGCTCATTTGTCACCTACGGTCATTTGTCACCCACGGTCATTTGTCACCTACAGACATTTGTCACCTACGGTCATTTGTCACCTACAGTCATTTGTCACCCACTCTCTGACCTGCTCAGCTGGCCTCTTGTGCTTAGCGGGTGGAAAGTAACAAAATCTTTTCGTGTCTCTCCGTCCTTCCAATATCCATCTAGGTAACCCTCAGAAAATACTATTTAACTTAATCAAAACATAACAGGGAAGACAAAGTGATGGCCGTTGGCCTCGGGCTTCAGGAATCTTCCTGCACTTGCCGAGCTCGCCACAGAAATGACTGCTGTCCACGCAGGCAACATAAACATCAAACGGGACCCCAAAAGTCTAGAGATCAGGACTCTGGCAGTTGAAAGACTGTTGCAGCCTCTTGTTACCCAGGTTACAACCCTGGTCAATACCAATAGCAAGGGGCCCTCTAATAAGAATTGAGGTCGTTCTAAGAAGGCCCATGTTTGGGCTGCATCTGTCGAACAAGCAACAGACAATTTCTTGGAGGACAGGGATAAAATTGCAAAGGAGAGTCAGTTTCTCAAGGAGGAGCTTGTGGCTGCTGTAGAAGGTGTTTGAAAACAAGGAGATTTGATGGAGAGTGCTATTGGAGAGTTTGTGGATGGTCCCTCTTCTCCCACGACGCGTGGCAACGCGGTTCGGGCAGCTCGAGCTTTGCTCTCTGGTGTTACCCGGCTGCTTAATTTGCCTGACGTGACAGATGCCTACAAATTACTTGTTCAGCTGAAAGTTGTAGAAGACGGTATCTTGAAACTGGGGAATGCTGGCACTGAACAGGACTTGGGAATACAGTATAAGGCCCTGAAACCTGAAGTGGATAAGCTGAACATTATGGCAGCCAAAAGACAACAGGAACGGAAAGATATGGGCCATCGTGATCCGATGGCTGCAGCCAGAGGAATCCTGCAGAAAAACGTTCCAATCCTCTATACTGCACCCCAGGCATGCCTACAGCACGCTGATGTCGCAGCCTGTAAGGCCAGCAGAGACCTGATATACAAGCAGCTGCGGGAGGCGGTCACAGGCGTTTCTAGTGCAGCCCAGGCTACTGGATCAGATGACGCCTCCCAGCACCAGGGTCGAGAAGGAGGAGAACTGGCATGTGCCCTCAATAACTTTGATAAACAAATCATTGTGGACCCCTTGAGCTTCAGCGAGGAGCGCTTTAGGCCTTCCCTGGAGGGGCGCCTGCAAAGCATCATTAGTGGGGCTGCCCTGATGGCTGATTCATCCTGCACACGTGATGACCGGCGTGAGAGAGTCGTGGCCGAGTGTAATGCTGTCCGCCAGGCCTTGCAGGACCTGCTCTCACAGTACATGGGCAACGCTGGGCGTAAAGAAGGGAGTGATGCACTCAATTCTGCAATAGATAAAATGACCAAGAAGACCACGGACTTGCAGAGGCAGCTCTGCAAAGCTGTCATGGACCATGTTTCAGATTCATTTCTGGAAACCAGCGTTCCACTTTTAGTATTGATTGAAGCTGCAAAGAATGGAAACAAGAAAGAAGTTAAAGAAATGCCCGAGTTTTCCGTGAACGTGCCGACAAATTAACTGAGGTCACCGGCTTGTCCTGTTCCATCTCAAACAATGAAGAAGGTGTAAAGCTTCTTTGAATGTCTGCAAGCTAGCTAGAAGCCCTCTGTCCTCAGGTTATCAATGCTGCGTTGGCTTTAGCAGCAAAACCACGGAGTAAACTGGCCCAAGAGAACATGGATCCTTTTAAAGAACGGTGGGAAAAACAAGTCCGAGGTCTCACAGATGATGTCAATGACATTACTTCCATTGATGACTTCCTGGCTGTCTCAGAGAATCACATTTTGAAAGACGTGAACAAATGCGTCATCGCTCTCCATGAGAAAGATGCGGATGGGATGTACCGCACAGCTGGTGCAACTCGAGGCCGAGCTGCTCGGGTCATTCACGTGGTCACCTCAGAGACGGACACCTACGAGCCAGGGGTCTACACAGAGAAGGTTCTGGAAGCCACCAAACTCCTCTCCAACACAGTCATGCCACATTTTACCGAGCAAGCGAAGCGGCCGTGGAAGCCCTCAGCTCGGACCCGGCCCAGCCCATGGAGGAGGAGGAGTTTACTGACGCCACACGCCTGGTGTACGACGGCATCCGGGACGTCAGGAAAGCGCTGCTGATGATAAGGACCCCTGAGGAGCTGGGTGACTCGGACTTCGAGACGGAAGACTTCGATGTCAGAAGCAGGACAAGCGTCCGGACGGAAGACGATCAGCTGATGGCTGGCCAGAGTGCCCGGGCGACCATGGCTCTCCTTCCCCAGGAGCAAAAAGCAAAGACTGCGGAACAGGTGGCCAGTTTCCAGGAAGAAAAGAGCAAGCTGGATGCCGAAGTGTCCAAGTGGGTCGACCGTGGTAATGACATCATCGTGCTGGCCAAGCAGACGTGCATGATCATGATGGAGATGAAGGACTTTACCCGAGGTAAAGGACCGCTCAAAGACACATCAGATGTGATCAGTGCCGCCAAGAAAATTGCTGAGGCGGGATCCTGGATGGGTAAGCCTGGCCGTACCGTCGCAGACCATTGCCCAGACTCAGCCTGCAAGAGGGACCTGCTGGCCTACCTGCAGTGCATCGTCCTCTACTGCCACCAGCTCAACACCTACAGCAAAGTCAAGGCTGACGTGCAGAACCTCGCTGGGGAGCTGGTCGTCTCCGGGGTGGACAGCGCCACGTCCCTGATCCAAGCGCTAAGAACTTGATGAACGCGGTGGTGCAGACAGTGAAGGTGTCGTGTGCAGCCTCCGCCAAATACTAGAAGTCTCAGGGGAGGGCTTCCCGTAACCTCCCTGCTGTGTCATGGAAGATGAAGGTGCCTGAGAAAAAGCCCTTGGTGAAGAGAGAGGCACAGGATGAGACACAGACCAAGATTAAGAGGGCATCTCAGAAGAAGCACGTGAGCCCTGTGCAGGCCCTCAGTGAGGTCAAAGCCGTGGACAGCATCTCAGGCTGCCCCCACCCCTCAGGGCTTCTAAAGACCTGTCAGTGTTCTTCACTCTTGTGTTTGCTAAATAGGACACTGATATTAGATTCCATAGGAAGATAGATTTCAGACCTGGCCAAGCTGGTCAATTTTGCAAAGACATACTTGTGTTTAAGTCAGTCAAAATACTTTTAGAATTCAGGAGCATATATCTAGCTATATTTTTTTATAAGCGTAAAAATTCCATAACCAAAGAGAATCCCACATTAACTTGTTAGGAACACTGTTGACCAAGTTGAGATGCCTGTCTTCTAGTGGTGGCAGCTGTAGGGTTTGAGAGAAGGGGGTCTGGTTCAGGGAGAGGGCTTCCACTGGTTCCGGCAGTTTGGCTGGTATTAAATGACCAAAGATGACCCAGAGTAAGCAACCTGGGCATCTTAGGAGGCCCTGGAAAAAGGAACAGTCCCAGAAATGTCTTTGGAGGGACAAACCACACGAAACTGAGTAAAACATGATGTATCATGAAGAAAACTGATTGCTCTCTTAATGACATGAAATAATTATTTTTTCTTTTTTAAAAATTTAGTTTTGGCTGTGTTGGGTCTTCTTTACTGTGCGCGGGCTTTCTCTAGTTGCGGTGAGCGGGGGCTACTCTTCGTTGCGGTGCACGGGCTTCTCATTGTGGTGGCTTCTCTTGTTGTAGAGCACAGGCTCTAGATGCGTGGGCTTCAGAAGTTGTGGCACACGGGCTTAGTTGCTCCGCGGCATATGGGATCTTCCCGGACCAGGGCTCGAACCCGTGTCCCCTGCATTGGCAGGTGGATTCTTAACCACTGCGTCACCAGGGAAGTCCCCAAACTACAAATTTTAATGCGTGGTTACAATAACTAATATACTCTGCTGCAGGACATTAATAAAGGTGCTTTTCAGGCTAGAGTGTCGTGATGCTGTAATCAGAACACGGTTTTCTCCCTTTCTTCAGCTTCAAATGCAAATTCGTCATTGGGCTCACTTCTAATAATTGCAGTGTTTCCTACCTTGGGCTTATGAGAGAAGCCTGACAAAATAGTGTTCGCTTAGGCAGTAATTTAGACTTACCTTATTTGTGGTTACTATAGCGATTACTAGAGCTACAAGGTATAATTTTACTTTCTTATTTAAATTTTATGAATTTGAATGTCATTTACAATAACTTTTCCCAATAAAGTCCACTATGAAACAAAGTGGAAAAAAAAAAAAAAGCATATTGGATTGTATATTCTCCCTGAATACCCCTCAAGTTCTGACAGGAGGAGAGACAGGTAGAGGCAGAGGGCTGAAGCCTGCGGAGGAATATAAGGGAGGGGTTTTTCTGGTGTCGTTGGAGACGCCCAGCTCTCTGAGTCTCAGTACACAGATATGATACACATTAGGTTCGGTCCAAATGCTCTCTGAGATCTAGAAACCCACAGTGTTACAGGACACTGTTTTGAAATAAGTCTGGCCATTCAAGTCCTATATTGTGTCGAATCGGAACAAGATGGATTTCTCCTGAAGACACGGAAGATTAAACTTCAGGTGTCCTTCCTCACATGGCCCCCCGCCCCCCGTGAGGTCTGGGAGGTGCTGGGAGGCGCAGCATTTTCTAGGTGGAGGAGAAGCCAGGCTGCTCCCAGGGCGCATAGCTAGGAAAACCTTCTTGGTAAACTGACTAAACCTCACCCCATGCAGACGTGACGTTTGGTCTGGCTGTTCATTCCTTAGCAGGACGGCAACACCCCCTTCGCTGGCCATTTTCCGGTCACTGTCTCATACCGCTCTTGGCGTGTCATCCTTGGCATGGAACGGCCAACATTTTGACAGTACGTCAATCTCTTGCTTCTTTGTGACCCTCTTCCCACATTTTTCAGTAACTGACCCATCAATCCGAACCCGTGTCCCCTGCATCGGCAGGCGGATGCCACGGAGCGGCTGGGCCCGTGAGCCATGGTCGCTGAGCCTGCACGTCCGGAGCCTGTGCTCCGCAACGGAAGAGGCCACAACAGTGAGAGGCCCGCGTACTGCAAAAAAAAAAAAAAAAAAAAAGAATGCCATTTAAGTCAAGACAATTATTCACATTTTCTTAGGAAATTGATTTCTAATCCTTTTCAACCATTTTTCTTCTCTCTATTTCCGCTTCTTTCCATTTCTGTGCATATTTAAAATTTAAAACTTCCAAGACCATTGTGAAGTCTGATAATATCCCCCGGGGAAGATTCTTTAATGAGCTTTCCTGTTTCATCTTATGTTTATTTTTTATTGTTTGTTTATTGAAGTATAGTTGATTTACAATGTGTTAGCTTCAGCTGTACAGCAAATTGATTCAGTTATACACACACACACACACATATACACATGTATTTTTTTCAGTTTCTTTTCCCTTATACATTATTACAAAATATTGAGTATATTACTTTATGTTTAACTTATATTTTTAAAAAATCATGTATCCTATCTGTATCCCATGCTTACCCTCAGGACAATGTTAGGTCTTTTTCAAGTAGTGGTCAAATACAGGCAATATTTTTATTTATGAAGCAGTGGAACCTCTTGCGCTGCTCTGTGACCAGCCGTGTGAACTTGTTTTGGCCAATAAAATATGGCAGAGGTGACGTTGCACCAGTGCGGAGACCTGAATTCAGGGGCTTCCTGGGTGCGTCCACTCCTTTCTCCAAAGGCTGCTGCGTGTCCAGCTGCCCAGCTGTCCTGCTGGCAGAGAAGAGCCTGCATCCGCATGAAGAGGGATGAGTCGTTTGTCTCAGGCCATCCTGGACCAGCCAGCTGACCCCAGATGAAGGTACAAGCAAGGCCTCTGAGATCAGCTTAGCCCTGCCCAGTCAGCAGGACCACCCACTCCACTTACACAATTACGAGCTAACACAGGCTCATAGTTTTAAGTCACCGTAGTTTGGGGTAGTTAATTACAAAGTGACTGCTAACTGATAGTCTGCTGTCTGATCAGTCATGACTCTACATCACGACAGTGCACTAGTCCACAGGCTATAAAGACAAAGGAAAAATGGGCTTGACTCCTGATCACAATCAGTTCACAATTTAACTGGTTTGTGGACACCTACACCTTGCAGCATCTATGCCACAAATAGGCTCAGATAGTCTAATCCAAAATTGTCAGGTGGATTCCCAAAACAAGCACATGCTTGCCTAGCAGTTGCAAGGACAGCATTGTTCTTGGGACAGAGAGTAAGAGATGGAAACAGAGATAGAGACAGAAAAACAGAGACACAAATGACTAATTGCACTAAGGGATCTGGACACAGGTCCGCACAGTTGGACACAGACACAGAAAAGAAGTGGGAGCTCATTGAGAAGCAGACTGGAGAGTGTGGGCACCAAGTCACTGAAGGCCTTTTATGTGCCTTACTAAGCAGTTATTCCTTAAGATAGTTCTTTCTTTCTTTTCTTTTCTTTTTTTTTTTTTTTTTTGGCTGTGTTTGGTCTTCATTGCTGCATGCGGGAGCTACTCCTCGTTGAGGTTTGCAGGCTTCTCATTGCGGTGGCTTCTCTTGTTGTGGATCACAGGCTCCAGTGCATGGGCTTCAGTAGTTTTGGCTCACAGGCTCTAGAGCACAGGCTCAGTAGCTGTGGTGCACGGGCCTAGTTGCTCCATGGCATGAGGGATCTTCCCGGACCAGGGCTCGACCCGTGTCCCCTGCATTGGCAGGCAGATTCCTAACCACTGTGACACCAGGGAAGTCCAAGACAGTTATTTCTAAACCACCTTCTGTGGCACCTTGGGGTCTGCAGAGATGTTTCAAAGGAATGGGATGTAAAAGGAGGTGGAGCTTGTAACACTGGTCATCCCAGTTACGCTTTCTTCCACATTTGCCAATAATCCCAAGCCCCAGACAGTTCCCATTCAAAGTCGCTTTTTCCTGTTTCAGATATGGTGGTAAAATATTTGCGGGGTGGGGCGGGGAAGAAGGATGTCTTTCCATCTCCCCGGAGTTATCTCCATGGCATCTATTGCCCCTTCTAACTTCTGTATAAGCTGCTCTGAGTACCATTCTCTATAAGGGTCCTGATCCCTTGGCCGCACATCACTGGATTGTTGAAAGTCTGTCATGCCACACTGCCCTTCTTGACATCCCTTTTTCTACTTTGTAACACAATCACAGAGGCTATATGAGAACCACTTTTCCTGAAAAGATGGGGTAAAGGGAATTCCAAGGTAGGGCTCCTACAGTTTGCCTGGAGTACTGGAGTCCTCTTTGATCACTTTTGCCCTTCTTTCATCCATTCTTTAGAGCAAAATTACATTTCTCAAAATGAATATCATATCATGTCACTTTCCTAATAAAAACCTTTTCATGACTTTCTGTTACACTTAGAACAAGGTCTACGTTCATTTACTGTCATATAGCAATCTCTCATCCCTTAAAGCTCACGACAGCTTTCCTGCCTACCCTGTTCAAAGTAAATCACCACATGGTCTGATTCATCTCAGCTTTTGTTTGTTTTCTTGTTGAGACTTATCATTCAAAATTATTTTGTTTCCATTTCCTTTAGGTTTAACCTCACACCTCCAGACGATATAAGTACCACAACATCTTCTTTGCTATTGTAGCCTTAGACCCTCTCATCACTATAGCATAGAATAGGTGCTTAATAAATATTAGTTCAAGGAATGAATGGAGAAATTCACAACAAAGTCTTTGAAGGAGGTACTTGTATTCATTAGCTACTCCTACTGTCATGCTGTGTAACAAATGATCCCCAAACTCAATGGTATGAAGCAAGCATTCATTCACATAATCTGTAGGTTGGCAGGTGCAGCTCAGCTCCATGCTGCAGTGGCAGGGGCTCCACTTACACTGAGCCTCCTTAGATCAGGGGCTCCTGGGGCATATCCAAGATTGTGACAGAGGCCTCTGACATAAAACCCATCGCAGAGGCACTTGGCAAATTATGGTTATATCATGTCAAAGAAATGAGTCACACCACACAACCAAAAGGCAAGGGGTGAAGAATCACAGCTCACCTATTCTCCAACATAATTTCAAAGCTAGGATAAAAGTCCATGTTATTCTCATTTTGAAACCCCATTCTTTTTACTATATTACACTTTGTTTTGATTGGAGCAATGT